ATTTCCCCTGTGAGCTCTCATACCATGTTGGGCTGAAAGTAGCCCCTAGGAACTTTTCAGGGGTAAACTCTGGGTGAAACTATGTAATAGCGGAAGCGTTAATGAAGAACTTGTGAACCACCTTGCGCTGGTATGTGAGGGCAAAGTAAGTTGATTATAGCAAAGAGATACAAGAATATAAATATAATAGTACAGGGAATACGAAAGGATGCGGTTGCAACTAATTTACTGTTGCTGTTGCGGTTCGATACAGTACGACTCGGGCAACTGCTCTGTAACGAGTCAGTTGTGTGTCCTTAACTGTCGCGCTGCATTTGTCAGGTCAAAGGTCGCTTGACCTTTGACTTTCGCGTAACCTCCAGCAACCTCTCAACCTCCAAATGTTGACTCGCGGGTGCTTCGATAAGGTTTGCTTCACTTCTGGTGCGATGTTTCGACACGACAGAAGCGCTTAAGATTTACTGTTTCCAACACGCATGACACTACACCCATCTGCCAGTGCAGGTTGTTGTCAAACTATATGTGCTGCATATTGTCTAGGCTGTAGTGGGGTAGCCCATATGGGGTACAACCCAATTAGGGTTTACTACTTGTACTCCTGCCCTGTCCGCACTACTGCTGCTGCTGCTGCTACTGGCGGTGGCCAGATGCAGCTCCAGCGACGTTCACGCGAGCCTCTCACGCCCCAGCAGCTTAGTGAGTGGTATACTAGCTGGGGTTGTCGCAGTAGCCGTCGTAGCTGTCGCCCTGGAGCTGGTCAGTTGGGAGCGTCTGGCAGTGGCCAGCTGCAGCTGCAGGGGCGTCCACGTGAGACACTTACGCCCCGGCAGCTCCAGGAGTGGTACGCTCAGTGTAGCAGGTCTACGCGTACAGTTCGCTGCCCGTACGTCATTCGCACAGGTGCTAGGACTGGTCAGCCTTGTGGGACGCTTGGTCACACACAGTCCCGCTGCTTCGCCCGTCTGAGCGACGACTGGCGCACAGTGTTTGGCGACGAGGCTGAGCTCCCCACCTGGCTGGAGCTGCATGGACAGAGGGTAGATATCTTTGCGCTTGACTATGATGCTATTCTCACTGCCATGTATGCATTGCCTACTAGTGCTGACCGTGCCTGTTACCTGTGCGTACCGCCTGACCCTGGTGAGGCCGCTGCTCTAGGTGCTCGTGCGTCTCCTGCTCTAGGTGCTGGTGAGGCTGCTGCTCTCGGTGCTAGTACGTCTACTGCTCTAGGTACTGGTGAGGCCGTGGCTTCAGGTGCTGGTGAGTCTGCTCTCTCTGGTACTACGCCCACTGCGGTCTCGCACACCTTCACCCTTGACTCAGGAGCTTCCCGCTCCTTCTTTCGCGACTGCACCACACTCACGCCGCTTAGTCGGCCAGTTCCAGTCTCCCTGGCGGACCCCTCCGGGGGTCCAGTCCTTGCCCACTACTCCACGGTTCTGCCGTGTCCGGCCGCCCCGTCCGGCTCGCTGTCAGGTCTTTACCTCCCCTCGTTCTCTACGAACTTGGTGAGTGGAGCTGACCTCCAGGATCGGGGGGTTGACCAGTTCACTCCTGCGAGTCAGCGAGTGACTCACTGTACGTGTGCTAGGACGGGCCGGCACTTGGCCACGTTCACCCGTGCACCTGGCTCGAGTCTGTACACACTGACCACTGAGTCCCCTCAGGTAGCTGCGTCTGCGTCTACGTCTGGTCAGCTGGCGGCCCCCTGCGAGTGTCGCGCTTTGTCGCACGACACTCTCCTGTGGCACCACCGCCTTGGTCACCCCTCCTTGCCTCGCCTGCGTAGCATGCACTCTCGCTCCCTGGTCTCTGGTCTTCCCAGGTCTCTGGAGGGCCTAGTACTGGTGACGCTGGAGCTGGAGGTTCTGGAGCCGTTGGGGGTGCGGGCGCTGAGGGTTCTGAGTCTGCTGTTGCGCGGTCTCCTTGGAGTAGCCGCCTTCGTCCACGTGTGCCTCTCACCCCACAGCAGCTGCAGGACTGGTACGGTCGCCGTCAGCGTCGCGCTGCTGGAGCTAGGAGTGGTGCTGGTCCTTTGTCTACTGGAGGTGCTGGAGTCGCTGGTTCTGGAGGTGCTCGTACTGGAGACACTGAGGCTGGAGACCTTGGGACTGGAGGTGCTGGCTCTGGGGGTGCTGCTGCTGGAGACACAGAGGTTGGAGACCCTGGGACTGGAGGTGTCGGCTCTGGGACTGGAGCTTCTGGAGCTACTGGAGGTACTGGAGCTGCTGGAGGTACTGGAGCTGCTGGAGGCACTGGAGCTGCTGGAGCTGCCGGTACTGGTGCAGCTGCGCCGACACGACTGTTCTTCGCTCTGCCGTCTCCGTCGTCTCTGCCGCCGTCTGACTCTGTTCTTCGTCAGGTTCTTACTCTCCCGTCGTCTACTGGTCTTCCGTTACAGCCTGGCTCACCGCTGCCTGCTCCTTCTCCTTACACTGAGCAGACTGGTAGTCCTGCTGAGCGTCGTGAGCCTGCGTCGCGTCCTGTTTCGCCTGTTCGTCCTGGTCGTACCGGTCGTCGTGTTCCTCGTTCGCGTCAGCCGGCTGTCCCCAGCGCACACCTCGTAGTCCGTCGTCCTTCCTCTGCTCCGCAGCCTGTTCCTCTGCCGTCTCCTCCTGCGTCCTCTTTGCCTGACGTTCCGGACCCTGCGTCTGACCGGTTTCGTGCTGAGCACCCTACTGTCACGCGTCTACTAGCCACTGTTGTCACTGACCCATCGTTTGAGTCTACTGCTGCGTCTGCTCTTGTCGCTGAGCTTGTTGACTTTGCTGCTGCCTGTCGTCTAGACTTCGCTACCAGTCTTGTTGCTGAGTCTGAGTCTGTCTGTCCTCCGTCCGTCGGGGGTGAGTGTGCTCTTAGCACGGACGTCCTTGAGGACAGGCACGAGGACCTTGAGTGTCTTGCAGCCGCTGCGCCTCATCTCGTTGCCATGCTGCTTGCCCCTGAGGGAGACCCGGATGCACCAGACATCCCGACCCCGCGCTCTTACGCTGAGGCGATCGCGGGTGAGTACTCCTCTCAGTGGCAGACAGCCATGGACGCAGAGATGGCATCCTGGAAGTCCACTGGCACTTACGTCGACGAGGTTCCCCCTCCTGGGGCGAACATCGTCAGTGGCATGTGGATTTTCAGGGTGAAGCGGCCGCCAGGTTCTCCGCCTGTCTTCAAGGCTCGTTACGTTGCTCGAGGCTTCAGTCAGCGAGAGGGAGTTGACTTCTTCCAGACCTTCTCCCCCACCCCGAAGATGACCACTCTTCGGGTGCTGCTGCACGTTGCTGCTCACCGTGACTACGAGCTTCACTCTCTTGACTTCAGCACAGCTTTCTTGCAGGGCAGCCTGCACGAGGAGATCTGGCTGCGCCGCCCCCCGGGCTTCACTGGTTCGTTCCCTCCTGGTACCCAGTGGAGCCTCCGGCGGCCGGTCTACGGTCTCCGCCAGGCGCCACGTGAGTGGCACGACACACTGAGGACTACGCTTGCGGCTCTTGGGTTCGCGCCTTCTACTGCTGACCCGTCGCTGTTTCTGCGCACCGACACTTCACTGCCGCCATTCTACATCCTCGTGTACGTCGACGACTTGGTTTTTGCCACTGCTGACACTGAGGCTCTCGCCCACGTGAAGTCGGAGCTGCAGAAGAGACACACGTGCACAGACTTGGGTGAGCTGCGCAGCTACCTTGGCTTGCAGATCACCCGGGACAGAGCACGCCGCACCATCACCTTGACTCAGTCACACATGGTGCAGCAGGTCCTTCAGCGCTTCGGCTTCACCTGGTCTTCAGCACAGGCCACTCCTCTGGCTACAGGTCACACGCTCTCAGCTCCACCTTCGGACGAGTTCGTAGAGCCGAGTGGTCCTTACCCAGAGCTAGTCGGCTGCCTCATGTACCTGATGACTTGCACTCGACCTGACCTCGCGTACCCTCTTGGTCTTCTGGCTCGCTACGTGGCTCCTGGTCGGCACCGACCTGAGCACATGGCTGCTGCTAAGAGGGTACTGCGCTACTTGTGCAGCACATCAGGCATGGGGCTAGTGCTTGGAGGGACGAGCCCAGTTGTCCTCACTGGGCACTCAGACGCTTCTTGGGTTGACGACCAGGCTACTCAGCGGTCGTCACAGGGTTACACCTTCAGCCTTGGCTCTGGTTCAGTTTCGTGGCGTTCTACACGCTCGTCTTCAGTTCTCAGCTCCAGTTGTGAGGCTGAGATCTACGCCACAGCCATGGCTGCACAGGAGTTACGCTGGCTCACCTACCTGCTGACTGACTTGGGAGAGCAGCCTCATTCTCCTCCAGTGCTGTACGTCGACAACAAGGCCGCCATTGCCTTGTGTGAGGAGCACAGACTGGAGCACAGAACGAAGCACATTGCTCTGCGTTACTTCCTGGCTCGAGAGTTGCAGCAGCGAGGCCAGCTTCGTCTTCGCCACGTGGCCACTCGGGCCAACACTGCTGATATATTCACCAAGGCACTTCCGTCTGGTGATCATCAGCGCTTTTGTACTCTGTTGGGCCTTGTGCCTACGTTTCCACACTTGCTGTAGTCTCTGCTTGTACTGTGATCTATATATATACCTGCATGCTGGCTCTTGCTAGGTAGCCATCACTGTACTGTTATTGCTGCATATATATCTCTGCATGTGAACTGGCCCTGTGGCCCTTTGCTTGTGCTCGGAATGCGTGGTGACGTTGTGATCCACCCTGAGCTTGTTTTGCTTCTCTTGACTGGTCGTGTGACCCCTTGTTCTCCCCCACTTTGCCTATGGGGGTGTGTCAAACTATATGTGCTGCATATTGTATAGGCTGTATTGGGGTAGCCCATATGGGGTACAACCCAATTAGGGTTTACTACTTGTACTCCTGCGTCCTGTTAGTTCATTCATTCCTTCTGCTAGATTCTGACAGCAGTGTGACCTTTACAACCTTTTACAAATACTGTAGAATGTGATGAAGTGTGATAGAATGTAATAAAGTGGTAAAGAATTTGTTCAATGTCAACTGCTAAGCCTTCATAGCCGTGCCGACAACATGTGGCGCCAACAGCGACAGCCCCGGTACCATCACCTCTCTTGCTTGCACCGCGCCAAACCCCGCCAACTTAATGGAAGTCAGAGGACTGCGTGTGAGATGACACCCGTCTGCCAGTGCGGATTGCAGTGGGTCCAGCAGTCGCTGCCAGGTGTGCAGAGCAGTGCCCTGCGGTGCCGCCACGTGCTCCAGAAAGTAGTAGCTGGGATTTGACCGGAAAAATGACCGAAAAAGGTAGATGGAGAACGGGGGAAAAAGGAGGTAGAAAAAAACAGGGAGAATGGAGGGCAAGAGAGAGATGCAGTTCTAGTGATTGTAATTGATTATTCCAAGGTCCTGCAAGTCCTGGCAATTCTCATGCTCCTCCTTTGCATCATTCTTTGTTGCAGCACGCACGCACTGCTTTCAGCCCAAACAAACAGTCCAATGACCACGACGGATCGCCACATTCACTGGGCTTCAACCATTCTAAGCTTTAGTCGCTTGGCCAATCACGTGTGGGCTGATTAGCCATAGCCCTGGCAGCATCACCTCCCTGGCTTTAACTGCAGCAAAGCCTGTTAGCTTGATGGCAGGGAGGGGGTTGCGTGTGATGTGGCACCCGTCGTATAGCAGGGGCTGTAAGGGGTCTAGGATGGTTTGCCAGATGTGCAGAGCGGTGCCGTGCGGTGCTGCTACGTGCTCCAGGAAGTAATAGCTGGGTGGGAGGGACGGGGGACAATAGGGAAGAGGAAGGAAAGAAGAGAGAGGGGGTGGGGAGAGAAGAAAAGAGGGGAAAGAGGGGCGGAGAGGGAGAAGCGGAGAGGAGGGAGAGGGGGAATAACGGAAGAGCGTGGCAGAAGAAAAGGAAGCAGAGGAAGAGGAAAGAGAGGAGAAGAAAAGGCGCCTTACCTCCCTCCAGGCTTGAGAATCCTCTTTATCTCGCTGACGCACTGCCTGACGTCAGCGACCGAACACAGCACCAGCGAGCACACTACCACGTCAGCACAGCCGTCGTCCAATGGGAGCGCTTCGCCCACGCCTTGAACGAATCGGAATTGGTTTCCCGCCAACCCTGCTGCCGCTGCTGACGCCTCGGCATATGGCTGCATCGACGGGTTCGGATCTACACCTACAACCTCAAAACCTGGCGCGGATTGTGTCTGTAACGAGTTCTCGGTGTAGAAGCGGAAGTTGGGGCCAGCCCCTACACCGATCTCCACCAATCTAAAAACCGCATCGTTTCCAGCTTCTACCGTCCCTCCACCAGCCGTTTCACCACCCTGCCCTCCTGCTGCTACTCTACCGATTTCCGATCTGAGCGGCTCGAATAGAGACAGCTTGTACCCCTCTACACTCTCTTCGTACTCCTTCATACCGTTCGCCATCATCCATGCGAATAGCTCCTCCTGCCACCGCCATTTCCAGCCGCGCACCGCCGCCAGCGCCGCTTGCGCCGCCTCCGCCGTCTGCGCTGAAGCCGCCGCGGCGGAAGCGGCGGAGTCGGCTGCGTTTTCGGGGAGCGCGGAGGCGGAGAGGAGAAGAGAGGCGGAGATGAGCGCGCGGCGGGAGCAGATGGCGCAGGGGCAGGGAAGCGGCGCGGGGGGAAGCGGGGAGGGGGAATGATGCGCGGTGGGTAGGAGCGAGGAAGGTTCCGATGTTGTGGAGTGGCTGGATGATGGTAACGAGTTTGCTCTTATCGAAGCTGAAAGTACACGTGAGTGGCGAATCTCGAAGGCTCTTTGCTGTTTGGGACGGCATGGGAAACCGCGGAGATTTGTGGAGATATGCGACGAGCGCGCGGATAGAGATCGCGGGGTGAAAGCGATGAGATGCTGCGTCGTTGCGCAACGGTCGAATGGATGGCAGAGCGCCATTTGCGGCGAATCTGGCCTGTCGCGCACGCGGTGTAATGAGCTAGAATCTAGAACCAAGTTGATTCCAGATTGATTTCACCGCGAAACATTGACAGCGGGATTCTAGGCAGTCTCGGGACTGTCACACTGAAGGAAAATGGGGTGATGGAAGAGCAAGAGCCTGGGGATTGTGCTTTGCCGAAAAGAGCAACCCATTTCGCGTATCTCCGCGAGATAATTTCGCCTTCCGCAACGGTCAACCTTGGGGTTAGAACGGTTGTGGTTACCTGAGTCGGATTTCAGCAAGACTTCTGTATGTACGCGTCATACGCTCAGTTTCACAGATTGAGATGTGATATTCATGGCAAGTGAGCATGCTATCTACTAGAAGAAAATATGATTCACTGTACAAACTAACTGCAGCCTGCTCCTTCCATCTACTACCTATCTTCTAGAATGGCCTTGCATTTCGGCCCAAGCCGAGCCTAAGACCGGGCCTCCCGGACCTCCTCCTTCGGTCCGTGAGAGCGTCAAGCAGACACAGCAATGCATTGTCAATGGCGTCTGCTGCTTTCGACAATTGCTCCTTATCCATCTCCTCCCTCTCGCCGAGCTCGCGCAAAAGGCTCGATGCCGCTGCTGCAGTGCACGTCTTGTCTTCTGCTGGCTGAGGCCTGTTATGCGATTCAAGGAGACAGGGTGATGGGTGAGCAAGGAAAGGCTAATTTCAGTGACAACTCTCCAGCACCCATCACACTCAGCTGCTGCTGCAGTGCACGTCTTGTCTTCTGCTGGTTGAGGACTGATATGTGATGCAAGGAGACAGGGTAATGTGGTGGGTAATAAAAGGCCAATTTCAGTGACAAAACTCAGCACCCTTCACACTCAGCTGCTGCTGCTGTGCACGTCTTGTCTTCTGCTTGTTGAGGCCTGATATGTAATTCACGGAAATGCGATGACGCCAGGTGTTAAACTAAGACAAATCAGCACGTATTTCAACCGATCCATACATGCATATAGTACGGCCAAATTTACCAGAAGGAGGATTGGTGCTGAATACAGAAACATGCAGATGATCGGAATAGGGAGCGTGTGAGATGGTGTGAGGTGAATGAAGCTGGACAAAAAGACAAGCGGGAATCACCTGAAGGCAAAAAGGCATCATCTGAAGGCAAACATGCATCACCTGAAGGCAAACATGCATCATCTGAAGGCAAACATGCATCACCTGAAGGCAAACATGCATCACCTGAAGGCAAGCGAGCATCACCTGAAGGCAAACATGCATCACCTGAAGGCAAGCGAGCATCACCTGAAGGCAAACATGCATCACCTGAAGGCAAGCGAGCATCACCTGAAGGCAAGCATGCATCACCTGAAGGCAAACATGCATCACCTGAAGGCAAGTGAGCATCACCTGAAGGCAAGCGAGCATCACCTGAAGGCAAGCATGCATCACCTGAAGGCAAGCGAGCATCACCTGAAGGCAAGCATGCATCACCTGAAGGCAAGCGAGCATCACCTGAAGGCAAGCATGCATCACCTGAAGGCAAGCGAGCATCACCTGAAGGCAAGCATGCATCACCTGAAGGCAAGCGAGCATCACCTGAGACCGTGCATGACCGATGGCTGCGGCGGTTGCAGGGACAGGAAAGGCAAGTCCCTCCCATCCCATGCTCTCTGTGCTGCTTCCTGCTCAGAGAACAAAGTAGGCAATGCGGGATGCGAGAGCTTCAGAGCTTTCCGGAAAGTAAGGAAAGCCGTAAGCATTGAAATAAAAGGCTGCATGTGATACTATACGAGAGCAGGCTACCTGATATAAAAAATGACGCAAAGAGGAGAAGGCAAGGATGAGGCGACGATGCATGTGTTGTGGTGCTAGTTGCCACGCATGCTGGCAAGGAATAGAGCTCACGCACCTTAAGCCGTGCTGTGATGGCCTTGGAGTTGCTCCAGGTGCCGTCAATGAGAAAGAAGCGAAGCGGCGAGGTGACAAACTCAGATGGTGATGATGCATGCATGCACTGCAGTGAGGTAGTTTCCACGCTAACAGAAATCTAGAGGAACCAGATAAAGAATAGCCACGTGTAGCGAGGGCGGTTTTGAAACGTCTCAAAAACACCCTTGCTACAAGTGAAGTGGTGAGAAGACAAACTCAGATGGTGATGATGCATGCATGCACTGCAGTGTCGATCGCCTGACATGCCACGCACCTTGAGTGTGGCAGTCATGGCCTTGGAGTTGCTCCAGGTGCCGTCAATCAGAATGAAGTGAAGAGTGGCATCGATCAACCCCCCTCACCCCCCTTTCCCTCCCTCTCCCACACACGCTCCTCACCTTCAGTCTGGAAGTCATGGCCTTGGAGTTGCTTCAGGTGCCGTCAATGAGAATGAAGTGGCGACAACACAGCTGCTGGTGATGATGCACGCGAGTGTCCATGCGGTGCAGTGCCGGTTGTCACACACGCCACGCACCTTGAGCCGTGCAGTCATGGCCTTGGAGTTGCTCCGCGTGCCGTCGATGAGAATGAATGAGGTGAAGTGGTGGTGACTCAGGCAGTGATGATGTATGTGGTGCAGTGTCAGTCACTACACGCGTCACGCACCTTGAGTCTGGCAGTCATGGCCTTGGAGTTGCTCCATGTGCCGTCAATCAGAATGAAGTGAAGCGATGAGGTGACAACTCAGATGGTGATGATGATGCATGCGGTGCAGTGTCGGTCGCTACACATGCCACGCACCTTGAGTTTTGCTATCATGGCCTTGGAGTTGCTCCGCGTGCCGTCGATGAGAATGAGGTGAAGGGGTGGGAAAGAAGTGGCGACGCGGACGGGGATGATGCATGCAGTGCAAAGCTCACGCCACGCACCTTGAGTCTGGCAGTCATGTCCTTGGAGTTGCTTCATGTGCCGTCGATGAGAATGAAGTGAAGCGATGAGGTGACAACTCAGATGGTGATGATGATGCATGTGGTGCAGTGTCGGTCGCTACACATGCCACGCACCTTGAGTCTTGCTATCATGGCCTTGGAGTTGCTCCACGTGCCGTCGATGAGAATGAAGTGAAGCGATGAAGGCGCTGCCTCTGCCTCTGCCGCTGCTGCCATTGCCGCATCCCCCTTGCCTGCTGCCTCCCCTGCTGCATCTGGTGCTGACCCCGCTGCCTCTTCCGCTGCTCCTCCTGCCGCTGCTGCCAATGCCGCACCCCCGTTACCTGCCACCTCCCCTGATGCATCTGCTGCTGACCCTGCTCCTGCTCTTCCTGCTGCTCCTGCTGCTGCTGCTGCCTCTGCCTCTGCTGCTGCTGCCCCCAAATCAGCTGCGGCACTACTAGAGCCATCAGCAGCAGCGGTGGTGCTTTGGTGAGACTCAGTTTGTCTCTGCTTCTTACAGGCTGGGGAGGACGAGGAGGAGGAGGAGAAGGAGGAGGGTATGTGCATGGATGGCACGGTATCAGGGGGAGGAGAGGAGGCAGGGTACACACACCACACGGAGTGAGGACCTGGTGCGAGGGAGAAATGGAGGAGAAATGGTGGTTAGAGAAAGGTATTGGTGAGGGAGGAAAGTCGACAGGGTACTGTACAGAGCCCAGGCTGGTGAGTGAGAAGCTACAACACCACCGCTCCACGACCAAACACTTCCTTACAAATGCACATTCCTCTCTCACACACACACAGAGCACCCGTCACACTCACCTGCTCGCTTCAGCTCATCCCACATTCTCTCCTCGTGGGCATTGATGCCAAACACACACAGCCGCGCACTCTCTCCCCCCAGCACCTGCCACAGCAGCTTTCCCGTGTTGTTGCGCCGCAGAAAGTCCTGCAGGAACGAGGATGGGGGCGCACAGGGAAGAATGGGAGACACGGACAGGGAAAAGGTAGGGAGTGCTGACCCCTTGCACCTGCTACAGCAAGTGTTCTGAGACGTCTCAAACCACAGCAAGTGCCCGTGTTGTTGCGCCGCAAAAATTTCTGGGAGCATAGGAGGAGGGGTGGGGTGGGTGAGGAGAAAGGAAGACGTAGTGCGGTGGTATGGGATACAGAGGGGTGTGGCGCACCCAGCACCTGCCACAGCAGCTTGCCCGTGTTGTTGCACCGCAGAAAGTCCTGCAGGTGGGACGAGGAGAGAAAAGTGGGGTGGGGAAGGGAGACAAATATGCGCATTGAGGGATAGCGGAGTGCTTACCCCTCCCCACCCGCCACAGCAGCTTGCCCGTGTTGTTGCGCCGCAGAAAGTCCTGCAGGCATGAGGGTGGGGGCAGCAAGCAAAGCGAATGGAGACACCATGGAGGAGTGGTTGACGAAGGCAGAGAACTCAGAGGAAACAGTGTTGTGCTCACCCCCCGCCACCTGCCACGGCAGCTTGCGCGTGTTGTTGCGCCGGAAAAAATCCTGCACGGGTGAAGGTGGGGGGACAAGGAATGCGAGGGGTGAGAATAGAGGGGGCAAGCCAAGCATAGACTGTGAGTCAATATACCCTCTTTAGCCACTACCTGCCACAGCAGCTTTGCCCTGTTGATGATACAGAAAAAGCCCTGAAGGCGCGAGAAAAGGTGAGTGAGAAATGCAAGAGGGATACTGAGGGGGGTTTGGGGGCGTTGACACTTTCTCTCCTCCTCCCTGATAACAACGATTACAGGAGGACTCACTTCGAGCCTCTGATCTCCTTGTAGCGAGTACAGGGGGGGGCCATGTAGAGCCAGATAACCACGTTGCTTAGCAACGATATAAGGAGCCTTGCACACGCTTATAACGAGTACAGGGAGATTTTATTCACCTTGGGGTGCATGTACAGCCAGATGACTATGTTGCTTAGTAGGGATGGGTTGGGCGAGACCTCATCGCACGTGCAATCTCCTCGTGGTAACCAGCACTGCAAGGAGCAGGTTGATTCAAATGGGGAGGAGGTATTGGTGGGATGCGGTCTGGAAGACACATCATGGGGTTGGAAGGGGTTGGGTGACACCTCATCGCACGTGCAATCTCCTCGTGGTAACCAGCACTGCCCACAAGGGTGGTTGAGGGGGGGCGGGAGAGGGGTGGGAGGAGTGGGAAAAGGGGTGGGGGATGGCAGGAGCAATCCAGTTGGGTTGGGCCTTTGGGGAGGGGTTGGGCAATGCGACACCTCGTTACACGTGCAGTCTGCTTGTGATAACCAGCACTGTCAGCAGGGGAGAGGAATCCGGGGGGAAGGGGGAGAGGTTCAAGGGAGGGGGTGAGAGTCTGGTTTGGTAGCTGGGGGAGAGGTTGGATTGGGTGACACCTCGCCACACGTGCGTGCAATCTGCTCGTGGTAAGCAGCACTGCTGGCAGGGGGGGCGCAACACAACCCATGAGGTGGGATGGGGGGTAGGTGGGTCGGACGGTTGAGACACAGAGTGTGTGCGAGCAGGGAGAGAGGGCTCAGAAGGGCTCTGGGTTGGGCAACAACAATTTTGAGGCGCTTAAGAAATCGTCTCTGCAGGGCTGAGTTGACTTTTGAGTTTACTTTTGAGTTGACTTTTGACTCAAAAGTCAAATCGTCTCAGAAGGGCTGAGCTGGGCAACAACAATTTAGAGGCGCCTCAAACATCGTCTCAGCAGGGATGGGTTGGGCATCAAGGTGTGGGCAGTCAGGTTGGGAACAGTCAGCGATGCTGGCAGGAAGGGTGGTATTTTGGGAAATACTTTTAAGGATTTTTCAACAGGGAGGAGGTAACGGAGGGATGCAGTCTGAGAGACACTTCATGGGTTGGAAGCGGTTGGGATGGATGACACCTCATTGCATGCGCAGTCCGCCGTGGTAACCAGCACTGCCAGCATGGATTAGGGCCTGAAAAAGACAGCTTGTGGGTTGAAACCTGGGGAGGGGTTTGGTGACTCCTTGTGGCACGTTCAGTGCCCTCGCCCTTGGTGCTGCAGGCAGGGTGTTTTTGAGAATTCCTTTAAAAAAAAAACTTTTGAGAATTCTCAAAAATATCCTCCTTGTGGCATGTGCAGTGCCGTCGCCCTTGGTACAGCACTTTTGGCAGGGAGGCATGCAGACAGGGGAGGGCACTGTAACATTCACACACCACACATGACCGTCTGTGTGAGACGGCACGCATGACCGTGACGAACCCACCCACACCACACAGCACACCCACTCGCCTCTCTGCACGCCCCTCTGTAATTACTGATGAGTTTCACCGCCATCTGCCGAGCAGCAAAAAGGCATGCAGCCCAGAGCAGACAGCCTTCCCCGTCCACACACGAGACTGCATGCACTGTAACACCACACCACACCACACCGTACCACATCACACCACACCACATCACACCACACCACACCACACCACACCACACCACACCACACCACACCACACCACACCACACCACACCACACCACACCACACCACCACCACCAGCACACAGCACACCCATGCACCTCCCTGCACGCCCCTCTGTACGCTGTGATGAGCTTCACCACCATCTGGCGAGCAGCAAAGGCATGCAAACAATCCTCCCCACGCCATGGGCTGCGTTTACTCACCACACCGCACCACCCCTCACCCACGCTCACCTCTCTGCACGCCCCTCTATACGCTGTGATGAGCTTCACTGCCATCTGCCGAGCAGCAAAGGCGCGCAAACAGCCCTCCCCATCCGTCCTCTTCCTCTCTCGACTCAAGTAGGCCACACGGAACCATGCCTCTATGGCCTCCGCTCCTGGGCTCTGAAACAGATGGGGAGGATGGAGATGGAGTGGGCGATGGGTTGATGAGAGGTGGGAAGCCCTCTCCTCTCTGGGGTACGCCACTCGGGACCACACCTCTCTGAGGTGAGAGCCGCCCGCTTCCTCTCTCCCTCAGGTAGGCCACCCGGAACCACGATTCCAGTGCTTGTGCTCCTGGGCTCTGATGGGGGGAGCGTGGAGGGTGCAGAGCACGTGGAGAGGGGAATGGGGGGAATGCGTGGTGCGAGAATGAGAAACACCCCCTTCCTCTAGCGGGTACGCCATGCGTGTGTCCATATCCTGCCCAGCCCGAAAGCCAGCGGGCCACGAGGTCGGCGGCGGTTCGCTTGGTACTGACAATGCCACGGCTTTTCCTACAGTAAGATGATGTCGCAGGACCCCAATGCCCCACTACCCGTTTGGTCGCTTCAGCTAAGCCAGCACCTCCCTGTCTGGAAGGCGGGTACTACCCGATTTCTGTGAGACACGCGCGTTGAAATCTCTCAAACTTCGTAATCTAACAACCGATCGCTTGGCAGCGGTTCGAATGCAGTTTGTAGGTAGCTGGATTGCTTGAGAGTGCTTGAGAGTGTTTGAGAATTTGTGTGCAAAGAGAGTTTTCATTTCAACTGGAGTGACGTGAATCAGCTACCAGGGTGGACAAATGAAAAAAACCCTCTAAAAGTAAGAAAAAAACTCATTTTGTGGTGGGCACAGGTGGGAAAATGAAGAAATGCCATGAAGAAGGAAGAGAAAGGTCAGAGGGGAGAAAAGGGTGGGTGTGCGGGTTTGGGGACTGGATGAGGAGATAAAAATTGAGAATAGATTTGGAGAAGACCATGCTTGACCGTACACTACCATACTGTTTTCAATCGTACATTACTGTACCTCGTCCAGGTACCCATCATCCTCATCCTCCTCATCCTCCAAATCGTCCCCTTCCACCTCTTCCGTAAACCCCTTCCCTCCTCTCTCTTCCAGCTCGCCTCCCCTCCTCTCCCTCCCACTCTCCCTTTCACTCCCCTCCTCCTCTCGCCCTTCTTCCCCCTTCAGCTTTACATCTCCTCTCCCTTCCACTCGCTCCTCCTCCTCCCTCACTCCATCCCCCACTCCCTCCCTCACGCCCTCCCCCTCTCTCATTTTCTCCTCTATCCCCACCACCTCGTGCATGATCCGCACTACCAGGGGGTCAAGCGCGCCCGCCATCCACGGCAGCTCGGCGCGCAGCACCCGCTCCAAATGCCGCCTGCGCGCGCTCACTGCGGGAGAAGCGCCTGTCGAGGGGGTTGCGCCCATTTCGGGAGTTCCGCCAGCGCTTATCCCCCCCACAGGCTCTCTCACCCGCGTTGAATCTCTCATTCCATTCGGTACATCTGGACCTTCCATTTCTCTTAAACCCTCTCTTCCCCCTGAATCTACAGCCGTTGATTCTCCCAACCCTTCAACCCCTCTTAAACCCCGGTCCGGCCTTGAAGCCTCATCCGAAGCGGTTCCAGCCTGCTGAGTCAGCATCGGCTGCGCTGAGCCGGCAAACCCCATATTTCTGCTGCCGCTTGACCCGGATGACGTGGATCCGATGACGTGGCCAGCTGCGGACGTGCGGCGTTGATAAGTACAAAACCCACTGCCAGCAGACTGTAGAGGCTTTATGCGTCGCGTGGACGCATCTACAACGAAGCACTCTCTTGTCGGGGATATTCTCGTGACAATGTTGGCCTTGAGGTTGACACGGCTTGTAACGCGGGTGGACGAGAATGGACGGCTGAGATTGCTCGAGGCAGTCCCGATCATCGGCAGAACTCGACGCTGCGAGGCGCCCGCGTAGCTTATACCTGTACGCGATAAGAGCCGCGCGCGCAAGAGCATAATGCGCGATCGACTGGAGGCGTAATTACAGCAGGAGGTGAGCGAATCGCAACGAGCAGTCTAGGTAGATAGTTTCAACGCGACAAGTCGGGTGCGGCAACTAGAGAAGTGTGCAGGCGCGTTTCGAGGGAATTTCAAATGGTTGAGGGGACTGTCGCTTGTACCCGCGACAGGCTGTCCTGCTAAAAAGAAGGTGCCAAACCTTTGAATGCATGAATTGTTCGGATGTAATAACAGGCCCCGTTGCTGTGGGGTAGATTAATTACGGTAATCACAATGAGATACATTGCAGATAATCATATCCCGCTCCATATTCTTCCTATTCTACGTGTCGGAACAAAAGCCTCGGGATCACATTCCTCGGGAACATACACAGCCGCCAGACGATGCGAAAAAAATGCCGCCGTATGCGAAAATCCCGACTTGGTCAAAATAAGCGCATCAGTCGACGCGAGAAGCAACCATTCAGTTACAATGTCAATGTATGTGGAAGCCCCTTCTTCCGGAGTGAAGTGAGCAGACGAAACATCCTGCGATGAAGGAGCGTGTGTGTCAGTGTGTGTGGGGTCTTCGGCTGATGTTAGGGTGTTGACGTGGCGAGGAACAATGTCTGATACCACTACCTGTGGCAAACAAGAGAGGGGAAGGAAGGAGAGGCAAGCAGAGCCAGGGTGTCAGCGAGTGGCAAATTCCTTGGGGCGATGTCAAGGTGTTGACGTAGCGAGGAACTATGTCTGATACCACCACCTGTGGCACAAAAGAGAGAGGGAGGAGAAGCACGAAGGGGCAGCGAGAGGCAAGGAGGTTTTTACTAGTTGTTCTATAAAATTCTCAAAAACGATGTGTGGTAGGTGTTGGGAGCGGTGTTTGGGTGTTGACGTGGCGAGGGACAATGTCTGACACCACTACCTACACCACAAACGAAGCTGGCAATAACGGGGCAGATGGTAACTGGTGAGACGAGTGAGAGGTCAAGCAGTGAGAAGGGTGGGAGTGGGAGGTGAGAGTGGGCAGTGAGTGGGGAGGGAGGGTGTGGAGTGAGTGTGGGAAGTGAGAGCATAGAGTGAGAAAGTGGTGTGAGTGTGGAATGCGAGTGTGAAAGCGGAGAGGGCAGGGGAGTGCATGCCTTTGAGCCAGAGGATGCTTTATGAGGGCAGATGGAGAGTCAGGTCACGCACTTGAGAATTTCTTTTTGAAATTAAAGAGTTTTAGATTTTGTGGGAAATGACGAGATGGGAGGAGGAAGAGAGCATACCCTGTGGGGGTACTTGAGCCAGAGGGCGGTTTTGAGTGGCAGGGAGTTGGTGACAACAAGCCAGCGCACTTCATAGGGCGGCGAGGGCACCCACCACTCCTCCAATGCCTGCACAGTTGGTGTGGCAGAGGGGAGGGAGGAGGGGGGAGAGGTTGGAGGACAGGGCTGGTGTGAAGCCGATTGGTTCTGGGTTTTGCGAAGTAAAAATGGAGGGGGGATGCTATGATGCATGTATCAGACATCCACTGTTGTTTTGTTCCATTTAGCTGCTCGTTTTTTGTTTGTTTGTTTGCTACTCTTTCGGCGTTTGTTTGTTTTTCTTTCCACATGAAATGTGCTCTTCAGTTCAGCCCATGACAGCAAAACATCCATCAGCCTTGGGATCTCCAAACCCCCATTCTCCCTCCCACACCATCGCTCCCCCACCCTTCTTAGCACCCCCACCACCACCACCCCTGCTTGCTTCCCCCTCACCTTGGCCCACGCTCACCTTGGCACATGATATGTACTGGTCAGCCC